TTTCAGTAACAATTCTAATACTACATTTTTGGTACATCACTAAAAGTGTAGGGGGGGGGGGCAACCAGGCTGTCAATTAACATTTCCTATAGTATAAGTAAGGTTGGGGAAAAAAGGGGGGGCAGCCTTCCTGCCCCCCCCCCCCCCCCCACCCCTGTTGCTACGCCCCTGATTCAGGAATATAGATACATGTGTAAGGAATATAAATGCAAATCTTGCTATCCCAGATAATGTAAACGTTCGCTCTCGTACTTATCTGTATTTCATGCACCAGGAAGACGCACTAATTTTATTTTTTAAACAAATTAACATTAAATGTAATTGTAGACAGAGGAACCTCCATTTATAACCCTTGATTTGTTCTCATACGGAAGTAATATTTTGTGAAAATAATGTGTTATGAAAAGAATAAATTCCCGAGGGGGAGTCTCGAGTTGGGTAATGTAGAAAATCCTGGTGAGAGGAATCGACTTTGTTTAAAAATGATAATTTTTTAATTCCAGCACAATATGAAATAAATTTATATGAAGCAAGGATCTTGTATAAAGTGCTTATCATTAATATCAATATCGGTATGTGTAAGTTTACACAGAGCACATCTCAAAATCTGAATATGAACTATTAGATATTTAAAAATAAAACCATTTTTTAAAATGTATAAGTAAATAAAAATATCATATGAGTTGATTTTTCTACCCTTTTGAAAAAAAACCCAGTTTCAGTTCGGTTTCAGCATGCGAAAACCATACAGAATCGAAATCAATAGTAAAAAGATCATATGAGTTGATTTTTATACCCTTTTGAAAAAAAAAATAATAGAAAACGTTTCAGTTCGGTTTCAGCATGCGGAAACCATATGGAATCGAAATCAATAGTAAAAGAATCATTTGAGTTGATTTTTCTACCCATTTGAAAAAAAAAATAAAAAAGTTTCAGTTCGGTTTCAGCATGCGAAAACCATACAGAATCGAAATCAATAGTAAAAAGATCATATGAGTTGATTTTTATACCCTTTTGAAAAAAAAATAAAAGAAAAGGTTTCAGTTCGGTTTCAGCATGCGAAAACCATACAGAATCGAAATCAATAGTAAAAAGATCACATGAGTTGATTTTTATACCCTTTTGAAAAAAAAAATAAAAGAAAAGGTTTCAGTTCGGTTTCAGCATGCGAAAACCATACAGAATCGAAATCAATAGTAAAAAGATCATATGAGTTGATTTTTATACCCTTTTGAAAAAAAAATAAAAGAAAAAGTTTCAGTTCAGTTTCAGCATGCGGAAACCATATGGAATCGACATCAATAGTAAAAAAAATCATTTGAGTTGATTTTTCTACCCTTTTGAAAAAAAAAATAAAAAACAGTTTCAGTTCGGTTTCAGCATGCGAGAACCATACAGAATCGAAATCAATAGTAAAAAGATCATATGAGTTGATCTTTATACCCTTTTGAAAAAAAAAAAATAAAAGAAAAGGTTTCAGTTCGGTTTCAGCGTGCGGAAACCATATAGAATCGAAATCAATAGTTTCCGGAAACTGAAACCTACTGAAACTAAAAAGTATCGTTAAATTGACATTCCATTAAATTTTACATTGGTTTCCGTTTTGTGGAAACTATTTGGAAACAAACCTAATAGTTTCAGCATACGGAAACCCTACAGAAACTTGCTGAAACTATTATATAGTTTCCGCATTGCGGAAACCATACAGGAAACTTCAACGCCAAGTTTCAGCAAGGTTTCCATATAGTTTCAGTTTTGCGGAAACTGGACTTTTCACCCAGTGTTTGGATTAAAATCCTAAACATAACATATATATTACATGTACCTGATATTCAAATGTTATCCTGAAAATTTTCTGAATCATGAGGAATGATTGATAAAGGAGGGGATTGAATGTTGTCATCAAGCTTTTTTTCTTCAATTTTTCAATTTACCAAAGTTATTAAAGCTTCTCTGCAGTTTTGACAAATTGCTGGAGAGTAGAAATGAATTTGACAACAATTGATTTTTAAAGTGGTATCTGAAATGTTATTATATCATGAATTAATTGTAATAAAAACATGCATGTTTTATGGATGCTACATGTAATATGGTATAATTTATTTTGTTCTTAAATTAAAATTATTAAATAATTCTTGACTATATGTAATTTGTACATCGTCCTTGACATGTAAAGTATACAGCATCAGGATGATCTTATCTGTACAGATCAATCCTGTAAAGCTAAAACTATTCATAAATCTGTGCAAGATTGATATGCCTGTAAAATATTGCTGAAAAAAAGTGGTCAGCAGAGAAAAAATTTGAGACAGAAAGGCTATACCTTAGAAAAGTCAATAAAGACTGACAATTAACTAATAAGAAAGTACACACAGAGTTGTCATATTCTTACACCTTTAGATAGATTTCTTTACCTAATTCACAGTTAATTACCTTGCAGAGCAAATAACTTGTATCAAGGTCCAAAAAATTTTACATAGTATGACAAAGTAAGATCTAGAACACGTTTCCTTCACTTTATTAGCTGTAAATCTGTTTGTCTACATGTACTGATTTAATTTTCATAATTCTGCACTTAAACTTTGTGATCAATTGTTTGAAATATTCTACGGTCCTGATGTTGCTTAAGATTTCAACAAATTTAAACAACTATTCAGTCATCATTGGCAAAAGTCAAAGGTTTAAAATTTCCATGGTATGATTTCTACAAATCCTTTTTGTTAAAATAGAATGGACACAAACATATACTGAAAGGAATAAGAAACACAGGGTCCAGTTAACTATAGTTAACTATAGTTATAACTTTTGAGACTTTGAAAACTTTGGTTTACTACATTGATCACTTTGACACTTTGAAACTTTATCGAAAACTTTGACGCTTTGAAAAACTTTGGCCAACACTTTGACACTTTGAAAAAGTTTGGCCAAAACTTTGACATTTGAAAAACGTTATCAAAAAACTTTGACACTTTGAAAAACTTTGACGAAAACTTTGACACTTTGAAAATCTTTATCGAAAACTTTGACACTTTGCAAATCTTTATCAAAAACTTTGACATTTTGATTTGGTGAAAACTTTGACACTTTGAAAAACTTTATCAAAAACTTTGACACTTTAAAAAACTTTATCGAAAAATTTGACACTTTAAAACTTAATCGAAAACTTTGATAGTTTGAAAACTTTATCGAAAACTTTGACACTTTGCAAATCTTTATCAAAAACTTTGACATTTTGATTTGGTGAAAACTTTGACACTTTGAAAAACTTTATCAAAAACTTTGACACTTTAAAAAACTTTATCGAAAAATTTGACACTTTAAAACTTAATCGAAAACTTTGATAGTTTGAAAACTTTATCGAAAACTTTGACACTTTGCAAATCTTTATCAAAAACTTTGACATTTTGATTTGGTGAAAACTTTGACACTTTGAAAAACTTTATCAAAAACTTTGACACTTTAAAAAACTTTATCGAAAAATTTGACACTTTAAAACTTAATCGAAAACTTTGATAGTTTGAAAACTTTATCGAAAACTTTGATACTTTGAAAAATTTGATCGAAAACTTTGACACTTTGAAAAACTTTGGCGGAAACTTTGACACTTTGAAATTCTTTATCGAAAACTTTGACATTTTGATAAATTTGGTGAAAACTTTGACACTTTGAAAAACTTTATATCAAACACTTTGACACTTTAAAAAACTTCATCGAAAACTTTGAAACTTTGAAAAACTTGATCGAAAACATTGACACTTTGAAAAAGTTTGGCGAAAACTTTGACACTTTGATTTACTTAAGTTTAAGTATAGTAAACCATATTAAACTTTAGTAAACTATATTAAACTATAGTTAACTATAGTTTTTTTGTTAGGGGTAGCATTATATTAGATAAGTATTTATCTACATGACCGAAAATTATGAACAAAAGGCCCATGGGCCTTATAGGTCACCTAAGCATCATGCAACAACTTTACAACGATTGATTTTGGTTCATATTTTAAACTAGATGTAATATGGCATTCACAATTTTGAAAGGGGCACCATTGCTAATCATAACTATACACTTAGCATGTTTAATTTGGTTACTTAATACCCATAGACAGAATAGGGGAACAAAAAAATGCATTTCGACTAATCAGTAATAATCAGCATTAATTAGTATAGTGCCACTACCATACATGAACCCCTGGCCCTTGGTCCACACATTTCACAATTTTGGAAAAGGCCCCCTTGCTTATCAAAAATATTTGATGAATACACAGGAGAAGATTTCAATCAATTAATTCCTTTCCAGTATATAAGTATAGATAAGTATAGCCCCCCCCCCCCCCAGGAACCCCTGACCCAGGGGCGTTGAAATTCACAATTCGGAAAGAAGGCCCTTGCTCATTATAGCCATATAGGTAGTTCATCTGCTTGATACCCAGGAGCAGAGAAAAGGATTTTCATACAATTTCTGCATTTTCTCTATATAACCAATAGAACCCCGCCCTAACAACAGAACCCCTGACCCTGGGGTCATAAAATTCATAAAGGTTTTCTTCCACATCATAACTATCATAAATATATTGTAAAAACTACTCATTCAAATGTATGATTATGATGCTGAAAGTTCCTACATACTTGCTACTTATAAGATACTTTTGAATTGTGAATATCAAGGAAAATATTTTACATAAGAAGTACAATAAAGAAAATGCCTAAATGAAGCTACCTGAGCAGGAGTTATAGCCCTTGTCAACATTTTTTAAAGATTGAATCATTGATTAAATAAAGGAAATATGCGTTTTTAAAATTCTTTCACTTAACAATATTATCATTACACCTATGGAATATCATTCTTCCAAAATATATTGTTCTATTGTTGGGTATGAATTTAATTTAATAACAGTTTTTGAAAAACCTATGATATCACGGAGGGTGGAATAACCTTAAAAATCTAGTAAAATTTCACATCATTATTTTAAAAAAATTCAGTGAAAAATGTTTTTATAGATATGTGCCCACAAGGTTATACCTTCTACCGAACCTCTGTTTTCACAACTTGTTTGAAGTATGTCTCAACGGAAGTGAATTACAAGGAAGCAGTCAGCAGCTGTAAACAAGATGGCGGAGATCTGATTCGAATCGATTCTCAGGAGAAATTCGATATATTTAAGAACCATGCAGGTATATTTAAACTTTCAGAAGTTAATTAAGCAGGTTATTGCCGGGATTAAGATTTTATGAATGTATATATGAATTATTAGTAATAAATATTTTAATCAATTAGTTATTTAAAAGAAACTCATATGACATATGCATGATACTCTCTAAACATGCAGACGCATAGACTAATAAATATTTATTTCAACTATAAAACTGTTTAAATTTCATTTGTATATAAGTTTGGAAAATAAATAAGAATTAGATACTTCCTTAAAAATAAAGACGTTTGATGTGTTATTGTACATGTCGATTCTGCTTCTCAGGTATAATATGTCATTAAAATACATGTACGCTAACAACTGAGTGATGATTCGGTATAAGCGTTATTCATTTATTCCTTCCTTGAAAAAAAAATATTTAAGGCCACCTGATATGTTAATCTATATATAGTAAACGTCAATTCATTATAAGCATGATCATTTTACAGTAAACCATGGCTATAGTGCACATGTACAGCAAACAAACCTATAATAAATTGACACTTTTTGAGAAAAAAATTTCAATTCTGTGAAACTTAAAATATATTGTTTACTTAGCGACTATAAAAAATACGCTTGAAACAAAGCAAAATTTTCCATTAATGGCATTTAGTTATAAGCGTGCTGTTATTTGTTTTCTGTTTTCAGGACAGTATGCATCTTCTACTGCAATCGAGGTCTGGGTTCAGGGTGAGAAGATCAATGGACAATGGAAATTTCATGACGGTACACTGATACCAGATTTCTGTCCTTTTGTCGAGACGAATGCGCCGGGCGAAGTCCATATCAGATCTAGCAGTGATCTGGACTATAAATGCGTGGACATGTTGGAGTCTCGCTTGTTTCACTACATGTGTGAAATACAACATTATTAAGCATGTGTGAAATACATGTTTCAGATATATTGAATAATTCTGAAAAAAGAGAGATTTTGTACATGTGTGAAATATTACATACACATGTATGATAAAGGTTAAAACATTTGCAAAAATAAAGAAACACCGAAGAAATTGGAAATATAAAATATGGTTGGAATACTAGTATGTGGAAACATATCTTATGATACCTACTCCCTCTGGCTCTAAGGGATCGATTTTTATATCCTCTTCACATGTCTGTATCATTTGTAGATAGAGATCTATTACTGTTCGTTATTTCAACCTCTTACAACAAATATTTAAACACCGATTTTCACTTGAAGAAGAGAAATGAATTCTCGGTTGTTCATAGATTTTGTAAATTTCCATTTAAAGTAAAAACTTATAGTTTTTAACTGTATTCCTTAATCTATATTTTTTAAAATTTCTTTTTATTGCAGTATTGTAGGAGCTCAATTTCATAATTACATTTCGGCGTTAAACAATATACAATCAATCAATCAATCAATCATAATTACATTAAAGGTTTGGATGCTTGAAGGAAAGTCTTTCCAAAGATTCACTGTCCTATTTCGATAAATAATTTCAGCATCAAGACTTTTGATAACTAGCCGTCAACAATTAAGGTGATTCGAACGTGACGAAAATACGTCAACTGCGCAACACGAAATGCCGTTATTCGATCTATGATGTTGTTAAAATGTCGTTTGTCAATTTCTTTTTTTAAATTCTCCTATATCATTTAAAATTAGCCAATTTGTTAGATTGACCACGTTTATGTTTCTTAGCACATGTAGCAACAAAACTATTTATTTATTTGGTGTTTCGTATATAGCACTGATTTACTGCGTATATAGTTTGACAGACGACAGGAAAAGAAATGTTTACAAACAATGAAACGATACCGTAAACACGGTTTAAGACAGCTAAATTAGCAAGTAAATACCAAAGGGTGTCCAGTATTCAAACAGCAAGATGGGCTAAGAAGTCTGAACATCCTGATCAGTTGTAATTATATACTCAGTTCACATTACAAATACCAAACATACCTACGATTACGTTGAAACATGAACACTAGTAACTGTTACATGTGTGCAGGCTACGCTATAGTACACCGTATACGTACTTGAAACATTCAGAACATACAGTGATGTATGTACGTAAAACAAGGTACACAGTTACCCTACCAGACATTAAACGTAAAATGAAAATAAAGAAGGACACTATACACGTTTTTATTTTGATACGTTTTGTGTGTTTCAATGTGGCTTTAAGAGATGTCATTAAAAAAAATGAAAACTTTATTTGTTTTTGATATTACAAATATAAGTGAAACGATTATTATTTTTTCATATTTCTGATTAATATTCCCTAACTAAGGACATATTTGAAGACATAGAATTAAGCTATAATTATTATAGAATGAAAGAATTTAGATTTTTGTAAAAAAAAAACATAAATTACAGTACATTTTTCGTTTATATATTAAAATAAAAGGGAAGTTACTCCTCGTCAGATTCTCAAATTGGGGCCTCATATGGGGTTTTCAATTGAACAATGAAGGAATATTCATCAATGAAGCATGGACATGAAGCATCTTGATTTTTTAAATATGAAAATAAATAAATAAATTATTAAATAATTTCATTATAGAATTAGAGAACGATTTATTATCAATTCAGGGCAGAAATAATGAAATACAGTAGTGCAGTCAACTATAAATGCATTGATGGACAAGAAGGTTATCATTTTTAGAAAAAGACATTTTTGAATGTTTATGTTGCATTTAATGTAAAAATATGGACTGGAATGTGTTGTTTTCAAGGTTTTGAATTTTTTATCAGATTTTTCCCCCATTTAAGGCCAGCATTTTTTTTTTATTTTTAGGTTTACAAACATCAGAATGAAAAAGTCCCGTAGGAGCACAGGCACCTGAAGTATGGATAATACCCCCCCTTTTTTTGTTAATGAAAAAAAAATGTAGGAATATATAATATCTCAAAAATATAAAATTTCCCCGTCAAACACATCTATATGTCGTTATATGCAAGCAGATTGGACTTTTTGTTTTTATTCGCATAAAGTAGAATCTTATCTTAATATTTAAAGAAAAAAAAATGTGCATTCATTTTTAGATTTAAAAAAATGTGAGACTTTTTAATAGGGGGAGATAACTCCCAAAACATCCGGTTTTCACATGTGCAGAATTGAATGAGTCAATTAGCAGGTAATGTAGCTCTTTCAAGAGGTGGAAAATGTACCCTAAAAGCACAATAAAAGAAAACCTTAGGACTTGTTCTGTGAAATGCACATAACTTATTTTGTCAGGTTTTTTCTGTTTTTGTTGAGCAGGGGAGTTAAAAATGCATAGGTGCATTGAAAATGGATGCATAAACAACTCAATATCCCCCATGTTTCAGGTGTCAAATACCCCCTAGTAGTACTTGATGAATGTATTTTAGTTGGATATTTACAAAATTCACAATTTTATCTTTCCAATGATATGCAGAAGTCTATGTAACAAGCCTCCATTTTATTTCTTTATAGGGGTCAGTTTTGCTTGTCCCTCACCAAGTAACATCCTGATAACGTAATACATAAAACTGTGTTTTCCACCCTTCATAAAAGTTCATTTACCGCCATGTTCATAACACCGGAAGTACGAGTTCGTAAATTTGGAATTTCGATCCCGACTCAAATTTGATATAGGAAAGAAAAACAAATTGTTTTCCTTATTTTTTTTTCTGATAATTCAAAAACTTGAGAGACGGGTTTGTAAACCTAAAAATAAAAAAAATGCTGACCTAAATATTATATATTGCATCCATGTAAAATGCATTTAGTTTCAATATATAAGAGGAAATTCGAACTGAGAGATTATTCTAATGTTTCTGAAGCTTATGACTATTTTATTGAATATTTTCATATCAAATGTTTAGAATTGATAAATTATACAATGTATTTGATTATTTTATGCAAACTTTTAAGATCTATTGTGTTTATCTTTTCATACATAATTTTTTTTGGAAAAGGCTAAAAATTGAGCAAGACCCAATGAAAGTCAGATGATTGTATCTTTCTTCCGGACTCATGAACCTTCCAATTTTTTTTGCAAGGTTTAAAGCTTTGTATCACTGCTATTCAAAGAAAGTTAAAAGAAAAAATTCCAATTACTCTTGGTATGATTTTTTGCCATTTTATTAATTGAAAGTCATGCTGAAAATGGCATTTTTAAGAGCAGTCTGAGGAAATTCGGATTAAATTATTTAAACATCATTTATTATTTCAATACTGTTACTTATTCTTTAGGAAGACAATGTTATCTTTCATTTCCATGATATAAAAATACGATTGAAAATAAAATCTTTTTATTTTCTAATTTTGATTATGTCTATCACTTGTTTATTTTGGGACAGCAGTCAAGTTCAACACTCTCATGTTCATAGGCCGTTGCCATGGAAACTAGCGCATTGACCCATATCAAAACTGTCATTATTCAAGACAGGAAATCCTGTAGTATCATTCTTATTTTTTTAAAAATCCAATTACTTTGGCGACAGGTTCGAATCACCTTAACCGTATGATTTATGGTGCAGCATCGATTTCAAATAGAGTTTCATTTTATCACCGAACAAATTATCATGACTGTGTATCTAAAATGTTCTACATATTGCATACCGGCAAATTGATAACATCTATTGCCCTACAACTACGCAGTACAGTTAAGGTGCGCAATGGGAATATCGACTAAATTTTGTATTTTAAAATGTATTCCTAATCGGGATGGCGATTTTTTTAGTACATTATTGATATCGGATAATTGTAATTATGATTAATAACTACATATCGAGGACGATTATATTTTATATTTAGACTAGTCACGTGATGCGGCAGTCACGCGATTTTAGCACATTGATTTGAAGTATTGATGTTACATATAAATATCACTAGTGCAAGGGCATAACCAAGTTAAATTTCCAAGTTTAGTATATAAATATTTTCAACACGCATTGTAGTTTCTAAAAAGTGCTGCGATCTTGTCTAAATTCTGCAATTTCATTGTTAAAATTATACTTGTATGACCGAATGCTATATTTTTTGCTGGTCAGCGGCATGAAATACTAAGTATTGATATATTTAAATTGTTAAGATTTCATCAGGATCGCAGCACTTTTCAGATACCTTAATAGTTCTCTAGTTGAAAAAGCTAACTTTGATCCATAGAGTGTATGCCCTTGCACTAGATCGATTTATTAAGACCCTCAAATTTCCCTCCGATGTACTTGCATACAAATATACGGCAGTGTCAATTAAATACGTAATGTACAGAAAATATATTAATAAAATAGTGAAGAAGACATTAAATTCAAGTTATTGGCCCATAGAATATCTGTAAATAATATTTTATTTAATTAGAGAATACATATTTTGTTGAGAAAATATTACTTGATCTGTCTCTCACTGCATACAAACTACGTCACGTTGTAAGAAATGACGTCATATTGACAAGTGTATAGCGATCAGTGACTTGTTTATAACTTGTTATGTGGGATTTTACTAACGACAAAACAACACGCTGTAGTAAGTTTTTATGTAGTTTGATGATTTTTGACTGGTTAAAGAACTGGGTACGGTATATATAACGAGGCGGCCCTGTCTAAATTTGATTGAAATTTTTTACAAAGATGCCCACAATTTGTCTTTTCAAAATCTATTTTATTTTTTGGAATTATCTCATACCGTTTTTTTTGCCAGAAGTTTGGAAAAATGGTGCATTTTCTTAAATAATTACAACTTTTGCCGTAACGACGTCATCACGACGTTACTGATTTTAACGTAAGGGGACGACCATTTGATTCTGAGGAGGGGGGGGGGGGCTGGCAAATTTTTTTTGAGACGGATTATTTATTTTCATGCCTGTCAAGGGCAGATTATTTATTTTCAAGATTATCGAGGACAGAATAATAGTATTTATTTTCTTCTTTGTCTTACGTACC